GGAGAACATTGCTAAGATTTATGTCAGAGAACGTTTTGCCCATGTTTTCTTCTAGGATATTTATAGTGTCTTATTTTATGTTTAAGTCTTTAAACCATTCTGAGTTTAATTTTGTGTATGATGTCAGGGAGTGTTCTAACTTCAGCGATATATGATTTACATGTGGCTGCTCAACTTTCCCAACACCACTTGCTGAAGAGGCTGTCTTTTCTCCACTGTATATTCTTCCCTCCTTTGTCGAAGATTAATTGACCATAGGTCTGTGAGTTTATTTCTAGGCTCTCTATTCTGATCCATTGAGCTGTATGTCTTTTTCTGTGCCAATACCACACTGTTTTGATTCCTATAGCTCTATAATATTGTCTGAAGTCTGGAATGGTTACTCCTTCAGCTTCATCATGTCAAGATAAGTTCCCTCTATACCCATTTTGGTGAGAGTTTTTATCATAAATGGATGTTGAATTTTATCAAATGCTTTTTCTTTTGAGATGATCATGTGATTTTTTTCCCTTTCTTTTGTTGATGTGGTGTACATATTGATTTGTGTGTTTGACCATCCCTGTGTCCAGGATGAACCCAACTTGACCGTAGTTTATTATCTTTTTTATGTGTTGTTGGATTTGGTTGGCTGATATTTTGTTGAGAATTTTTGCATCTATGTTCATCAAAGAAATTCCCTGTAATTTTCTTTTTTGGTAGTGTCTTTGTCTGGTTTTGGTATTGGGATAACAGTGGCTTCCTAGAATGAGTTTGGGAGTATTCCCTCCTCTTCAATCTTTTGGAAGAGTTTGAGAAGAACTGGTATAAGTTCCTCTTTGTATGTTTTGTAGAATTCTCCAGTGAAGCCATCCAGTCTTGGATTTTTGTTTGCAGGAAGCTTTTTGTTTGTTTGTTTTGCTTTTTAATTACTGATTCTACTTCACTTCTAGTGATTACTCTGTTCAAATTATCTATTTCTTCTTGATTCCATTTTGGTACACTATATGTTTCTAGAAACTTGTCCATTTCTTCTAGATTGTCCAATTTGTTGCCATTTATAGTGGATATTTCTTGAGCCCTGGTAAAAAGAAATCTTTTTGGGTTAGCAGAGTTAATGGAGAGTAGTGGACATTCTCAAGGCTGGACAGGATGAGTAGTTAAAACTGTCTATATGGCTGCAGCATCAGCAAGCTGATCTCCTTTGGCTTCCATAGTGTCAGATTTGGTGTTTTAATAACTGCTAACTGTTTTGGCAGTTGTATAACAATAATTCTACAACCTGTTTTCCTTTTTTTTTAATAGGTTATCCTGAAGAGGGTAAAAATCTTACTGCTTCTTTAGCATTCCAAAGTTGTCTGCCACTCCAAAAGCATAGTGACTTTCAGTATAAATATTTGCTATCTGTATTTAGCTAGTTGACAAATTCAGGTTAAGCTACTTAATTTGGCTTGTGTTGATTTTGTTTCCGGTAAATAAAAGCTTTAAGTTATGTTCACTGTGGACATTACTGCACATCCAGCTAGGTAGTGTCCTTGCTCAGCCCTTAAGTAGGACCTACCCGTAAATTAAATTAGATCAGCCCTATCAATAGGAGCTTCTTGTATTGACTGTTTTCTTTCTGTGGCACTGGGAGCAGAGTTGCAAGGTTGAGGTTATTACACCTAACCAAGGTAGTAATAGAAGCAACAATACTTCTTAACAAGTTATCTGGCTTATAGAACAGTGCCGAGTGTACTGAGAGTTTAGAAGAAACTCAATGAGTGTGAGACATCAGTAGTTAAAGGAGATCCTATAGCTGGTTCTTCAGTAGCCTTAAATATTAGGGGCTGTTGCTGAAATAACCCTCACACAAGGCGGAAGTCCTTTTGCTACCAGGTCTAATTTCATTTTGGAACATAAAAGCAAGTCATCTCCAAGCATTTTTATAAAAGCACCAGAATGAGACAGTAACTCTATAAATGACAAAAGACTTAAAAACCATGGTTAAAGACATGACTACATTGTAATTGTCTCGGAAGTCTAGCTATTTCTGTAACATATAACATTTTAAGATAATGATGAATTATGAATGACAACATAAGACATTTCTAATTTTAGGAACTTCATATAATTTCTAGAATATTCATATTAATAATATTTACCATACAATATAAATTAAGGAGGTTTATTATTACTCATTTAACAACGTTTCCCATGTAATTTAACAGACCAAATAAGCCTAATTAGTTTATTATCTCTCCTTGAGATGGTCAGGGGCCCTGTGAAGCATCCCCAATTTAGCTAGAGGTCAAAGAACTTCACTTAGAATTTACTCTCCATGCCACCGGGGATGGTGGCTCCCAGCCATGGCTGTGGCAAACCCCTGGGACAAGGTGTCCATGCTTAATGCCGCCAGGCTACTGCTGGGCCATTTTGTGGTTTCAGGGTTGATCACTCAGGAGATGTTAAACATATCTAAGAAATTAGCTTCCCGTTTTGTGAACTTCTCCAGACCACAGCAGATCACAGATAACCAAGCTGAAATCTACCAGAAAAACTCTGAACTCCTTAGACTAGAAAAAGATACAGCAGATATTGTCCATCCTTCCTTTTTGGCTCAAAAGTGTCATACTCTGCAAAGCACGAATAATCATTCAGAAGCAGTGCCCGAAGAGAAGCGGTCCCTCAGCAAAGACTATTGAAACCCGTGTGCCAAGAAAACTTGCCTATTGAAGTTATTTATCACAGATACATGGTATATTTGTTGGAGTTGGCATGTTCACTGAGAGATTAGAAAATCATCTTGAAACAATTAGAAATATCCTTCATTTAGATGCAAAGTGAAGAAAATGAGTGTGGCTTTAGCAAAGATGGTTATTTTGGTGACTGAGATGAAGAACTGGCAAAGAATATACTCAAGTGGTGAGAACAACAGAAGGAAGTCTCCTCTAATATCCCCACATATTGGCTGAAGAAAATTTTCTTCATAATCATGATGTTATAGTACCTCCTTTACTTTTTACTTCTAAAGTTAGTGTCCAAACTGTTAATGCCAAGTGATTATCAACTGTATATATTTTTAAATTATATGTAGGCTTGTGAAGTTCATTTTTAGTCAACTGTAACAGGGGTGTTTATAGACTTTGCTGCTAGCAATACTGAAAGAGAAACTTCTTTATATTGAAATACTAAGATTCCAAGTTCTTTAAGACCAAACTAGATTTTCCTTTGTTTTTCATATATTTTCATTCCATTTTTCAGTAAAACTCAAATACAGCTGTGATAATTTATTAATGAGCACATTAACCACCTTAGGCAACAGACTTTATGTCATTTTTAAGAAATGTTTATTTCTGAATTAGAAGAGTCTTGAATCTGAAAGTAATGTTGATTATTTCTGTGGGATTGTCACTAAGTATGCAGAAAAAGTGTAACATAGCAGACCTGGCTGCTATCCTTTGAAAAGCCAGCTTGGCCGGCATCTGGGAAGTTAGATTTTAAGAGGGCTCCCTCCACTCTCACTGATAAGAGTTGCTTGCTGTGACTAAGGTGGTTGTACAGTGTGGTTTGTGCTGAACATCTGCTTTTTTCCTGGGAATCCAGAAGTTTGGTACATGTTAGGTAGAAGGTACCTATGTGACTAGCCTGCAGTAATAAACCTGACACTGCAACTTTAATGAGCTTTTGTGGTAGACATTTCATACATGTCACAACTCAGCTGCTGGGGAAATTAAGCACATCCTATGGGATTCCACTAGCAGAGGATTCTAGAAGCTTGTACCTGGTTTCCCCCAGACTTTGCCCCTATACACCTCTTTTCCCTTTGCTCTTTTGCTTTGTATGCTTTTGCTATAATAAATCATAACTATGAGTACAATGATATACTGAGTCCTCTGAATCCTCCAAGTATGTCATCTAACCTGGGGTTGGAGGAGAGGGGAGTCTTGGGGAACCTGACACACTAAAGCATTCCTGAGCATGTTCACTGGCAGCTTTAGGAGTAGGCAAAGAAGAAAAGCAGAACAACAACAACAAAAAAGGCACATAATGGTAAAACTTTTAGAGGTATTACCTTAAAAAGTGCTCTGATATTTTACCTACCTGAGGTTGTCGGGCGTATAAAAGGGAGTAGAATACTAATACTTAATCTCAGGTTATGTTCTTTTGTATCAGTAGTACAACGATGCTTGGCTTCTTTTCAGTCTTGGGGTTCTCTTTTGCTTTAAAATGCATGCTTCAGTATTTTTATACCATTGCATTCTCTGTATCACCTGGGTTCCCCTCATCTTGTGTTACCCAAAAGGTAAAGATCTCAGTTCTTGTCATACCTGAAAGATAAGTTTACAGTAGGGAGACAGTGTGTTGTGTAGCAAAAGATTTTAAAAGATTTATTAAAAAAAGGACAAGTACATGCAGCAACACAGATGGGTCTGGAGATTGTCATTCTAAGTGAAGAAAGCCAGAAAGAGAAAGAAAAATACCCTATGATATCATTTATATGTGGAATCTAAAAAAAATAAAAGAAGTAGAAGAAGACAAATGAGCTTATTTACAAAACAGAAACAGACTCACAGACAATAAACAAATTTATGGTTGAGGGGGAAGGGACAAGTTGGGAGTTCAAGATGTGCAGATACTAACTAATATACATAACATAAACAAGTTTAAACTGTATACCACAGGGAGCTATATTGTAGTACCTTACAGTGAAAAAGAATATGAAAATGAATATATGTATGTTTATGTATGACAGAAGCATTATGCTATACACCAGAAATCAAAAGAAAAAAGAAAAAACCCCAATAGTTCAGCGATAAAAGAGTCCTAGTTCCTCCAGGAATATACGTAACAGTCTGATACAGATCTTTGAGATCTGCAGGAACCAAGGCACGCACCCAGGTGGGGGATGAACTGATGCTGACCTTCTATGACCCTCGTGACTTCAATCAACTAAAGCTTGGACTCTGTCAACCTTTGCCCCAGTTCTATGCTGAATTCTCCTCTGCTCAAGTCCTTTCATGAATATGCATGTACCTTTTGCTTAAAACTTCCCCAGCTTTGCTGTTGTGGAGACACTGCTTTGGAAAAAATTCCTAGTGTTCTCCTTACTTGCTGCAAGTAATAATAAATCTTTCCTCTTCCTTTAAAAATAAAAAAGTACAGCTCCAAGAACAAGAGGCAAGCTGACCCAAGGGAGGAAAAGCGGAGGTTCTTGTCTCCCCTTTCTCTTATATTCTCACTTAGAGGTGGTCTCTTGATTGATTAACAGCTCTTGCCTCTGGAATACTTAGTCATGTCTGGCCCGTTTGCACATGACCTTACCCATGATGTATACAGAAAAACCCATGGGGGAGGGGAGCCTAAACCACAATGTTAATTATAATACAATGAACATTGGGTCATGTCCAGTTAAGTCCTTTCTGCTACTGCGCAGTCGTGGCTGTCAGTTTCTTGCTGTCACTCATTTAGAAGTCAAGTCTCTTTATGCTGGAGGCGGGCATAACATCATCTTCCAGACTATCCTCCCTTTCCTCCACCTATCTGCCTGGTGCCCCCACATAGCTAACTACCTAACACTTGTATTCATCACACTCTTTAACACATGAAGACCTCAACATAGTGGATGAGTTAAGACATTGTTCAAAAGGGAACAGGATAACTTCCAAAAACTATCCTGCTAAAACACTAAGTTTGGAAGCCTATTTTGCTTGTCTTTATAAATGGGATATAGAAGAGTAGTCCTAATTTCCTGAACATTGCCTAGACACTTTAAGCAAAACTTTTAGTTATAGTCATAAGAAACTGTTCAAGCCCAGCCTTGGTTTCAGACATCCTACTAAGCTTTTTCTTCATGTGATTTCATGATGTTCTTCATGATTTCATATCATATTGATGCAAGAAAACAGATATGGGGCAAGAGAAGGGCTGTGTCCCAGGCTTCGGTTGAGCCCCTGGGACGTGCCCCGCCAAGCGTGGGTCTTTGGTTTCGCACAGGAAAGAATTCAAGAGCAAGCCACAGCTGAGTAAAGATAGATTTATTCAGAGAGATACATTGAAAGGCAAGAGAAAGGCTATGAGATGTGGGGATTGGGTGCTCAGATTAGAAGTAGGTACACATTCCATAGACAGAATGCAGGCTGTCTCCAAAGAGAGGGGGCGGCCATGAGGCGCTGTGTTGCTGGTTTTTATGGGCTTGGAGGCTTCATATGCTAATAAGTGGAAGGACCAGTTTAAGGGGAAAGGGCTGGGATTCCCAGGAAGTTGGCCATTTTCCACCCTTTGACCTTTTGAGGCTAGCCTTGGGACTGCCATGGTGCCTGTGGGCATATTATTCACCATGTTAATATATTACAGTGGGCATATAATGAAGCTCAAGATCTTCTAGAAGTTAAATCTCTCATCATCCTGAGCCTCAAGGCCTACTGGGGGTTGAATCTTCCACCAATTGCTGTGGCATTCCTTGAATGGCTGTACCCTGCCTCCTTCCTGTCTCAATGTCATAAATGTTGGTATGTCTGGTTGTTTTGGATTTTATTTTATTTTAGGTCTTTTTCAAAATAAAAAAAAATAAACTTGTAATTTCTAATTAAAAAAAAAAAAAAGAATTTGACCTGAGGAAGTTTGTCAAAGATACCAAAAGTTTTTAAACATTTGGCCAAGCAGGACTGAAGGGGGATTAATAAAATGGCCGCACTTAGGCTAACAGATTGCTTATTCTTATGCTTGCTCTTAAAACGGTCAACTGACCTGACTGACTGGTTGCTACTCATGGTTCCAGGCCCATTGTTAAAACTAAAGCTATTGGTCTTACTGTTTCTACTTTATTCCAGTAATTGAAAGAAATAATCAAGCTTGATCTCTGAGTCCTTCTCCAAGGAGAAGGTCACAGGACTGTAACCTTACAAAATAGCCTGAATTACCAAGAAGACCACACCTTGAGTGCTTATGAGATAAAGAGATCTAACCACTGGCCTCTATAGCATCATGTCACCATTCTAAGTCTTCTGATGAGAAAATGATTCTGTTGCTTGTTATCAATACTTTATTGTTTGAGCTATATAACAGCCCCACCCCATCCCCAAGGTGGGCTCACAGGTTTGAAGGCACTGGCCTCCTGTGAGTCCCCTTTGCCCAGCAAAGCAATAAAATTGCCTCTTTTCTTCTAAGCCCCAAGACCTTGTTTCTGGGTTATTTGGCTTGTTAGGGTCAGGGCCAGTCTTTCGGCAACACGTTCACAAGTCACTATGAAGCAATATTTATTCACTTAATCAAAATGACAATAAAAGATTGCAAAGGCAATCTTTGAAACAGATTGCCTAAGAAGTAAAGAAACTTTACAATTTGTTATTAAAAGCAGATAAATATTTCAAAAAACACTTTGTCCCCTTAACAGAGAAAAAACAAACTCTAGTTTTGCACCATTTCATGTTTAGTGTTAAAATCATTCATTTAATTAAATTGAGTCTAGTCTTAAGTAGACCTAACCTTGCATGAAACTGTTTTCTCAGGGTTCTGTTTTTAAAATTAATTTCTAGAAATATATGACATTTCATAGTACAAGCTTTCAATAAAGCACATAGTCTCAAACATATTTAGTTTCTCTGTAATAAGGTCAAAAATAGGTAAACATAGACTTTAACAATCAATGTTTTGTATTAAAGATAATCTAGATATTCAGTGAATTTCCATCATTTAATTTAGCAGAACTCGAAAGTTTCAATTTACAAAAAACTGGAGAAACTGTTTTTAAGTAGACATACCAAAAAAAATGATTATTTTTAAAGACTTTATATTTATATATATTTTATAACTTATGAAAATATAATCATACCAAGTTAATTTTCTTGCTGACAAAGTCTGTAATAGAGATAACATGAGCTTATTGACTCAATAAACCTAGGTATAATAAAAGAATCATACTTACTGCTGATGACTCTAAAGATGTGTGTGTATTAATTAAACCATCAATTTAAACTTTTTTCATTCATTAATGATTAATCCTACATCAGGTGATTCTTTTAAAATTTGGACTAATTTAAATTACATTTAGAAATATTTCATACGTTAAATGCTTACTTTTAGTCAATTAAGTAAAGCTTTTAAATATAAATTTTGATGACACCATCTGGAGGTAGGGACATTGTGTATCTATAAAGTATACACAGACATACATACATCCAGATGGACACAGACAGAGACCTCATAGTTTTCCTGCTTGAGTTTAAAAAGTCTCTTTCTCCTTTTTTTTCTTTTAGTTTTCAGATCTACTAATTGAGCCAAGGTTGTAGTCCCAGGAGATGAGTGCTGTGTTTATATTTCAAGGATATGATAAAAGTTATAACTTCAGGCTTTCTTCTGGTAATCTTTTTGTTCTCTCACGACCAGAATTTTGAAAATACTTTATCAAGCCAACTCCTCTATAGTTTTAGAAGGTCAAAAAAGCACCATCCTGGCCATTTAAGGGGTAAGTGCCTGCAAGCACTGGCTTCATTCCAGTTGTACATGAAGCCAGCTGGAGTTCCGGTTGAGCGGCTGTCCATCTGGGAGCTATGTGGACTTTAAGGCATAGCTTCCCTTTGTTAATCTGGTAGCCTGACCCAGACAAGACCTGAACAGCTTTCTGAGGGCAATGTGATGGACTGGATGTGTGTTGATTCTTCGCTCCCCAAGAACTTAACTCTTGGGTGGGTTTGACTCCCTTACATGTCTCAGCTTCTCCCTCTGGCAGAAACTGCCCTGGGCCCTCTGAGTACTAGGTGATCAGCTTTATCAGCTTTACCCCTTACTCCTCCCTTACGTCTCCACTGGCAAGCATCCCACAAGTCTTGATATATATGTTTTTCAGTATCATTCAATTCAAGGTGTTTCTAATTTTTATAGCGAATTATATTTTTGATCCTAAGTTATTTAGTAACGTGTTTGTTACCTTCAAACATATGGGATTTTCTAATTATCATGTTATTATCTTCTAGCCTAACCACTGTAATCAGAGAACATTCTCTTATATGGTTTCCATCATTTTAAATTTGACAATAATTACTTTATGGCCACTAATATTTTTTAATGTTCCATGTGTACTTGAAAAGAATGTGTATTATGCCATTATTTGTTTCTAGGATTAATATTTGTAATTTAAATCATTTTTATTAGTTAACTAGTTGAAATCTTCTCTGCTTACTAATTTCTACTTTTCTTCTATTGAAGGAGAATTAATAAGATGGCCGCATTTAGGAACAGACTGCTTATTCTTACGCTTGACCTTAAAATGGTCAATTAACCTGACTGACTAGTTGCTACTCACAGCTCCAGGCCTGTTGTTAAAATAAAGCTATTCAATTTTACTGTTTTTACTTTATTCCAGTAATTGAAAGTAATAATCATACTTGGTTTCTGAGTTGTTCTCCAGGGAGAAGTTCATAGAACTGTAAACTTACAAAACAGCCTGAATTACCAAGAAGACCACATCTTGGGGGCTTACAAGACAAAGAGATCAAAAAAGTGACAATCACTAGCCTCTACAGAATTGGTCACCTGGAGGCATCATGATACCAGTCTTAAGTCTTATGATGAGAAAATGGTTCTGTTGATTGTTATCGATGTTTTATTGTTTGAGCTATGGCTAGATAACCACCCCACCCCCAAGGTGGGTTCATAGTTTTGAAGGCACTAGCCTGCTGCGAGTCCCCTTTGCCCGGCAAAGTTTAAAGTGGTCTTTTTCTTTTAAACTCCAAGACCCTGTCTCTGAGTTTCAGTTTGGCTCATCAGGGACAGGGCCGATCTTTTGGCAACACTATCAGTTACTGAAAAAAATTGAATTAAAATCTTCCACTAATGATCTGTAACTTTTGAAAATCCCCGAATCTCTCTCTGAGAACCCACAGAGAAATTTATGCAATAAAATAAAAAATTTATGGACAACATAATGTGAAACAAAATATGAGCCAGAATATATTCATACAATTCTCCAAGTATGAACATGGTATAATCCACCAACAACTCCAAGGCCTGTGTGGCATCAGCATCTGTGTGGGAGGAAGCGGAAGCAGAGGGGAGCAACAGAGCACCTGATAGACTAAGGACTCACCAACAAATATTCACCGAAAATCTTAGTAAGAAATTTGGAGAGCAGTTGAAACTGGCAGGGATTTGCACATCCTATTGGTAGGTGAGTACAAGCTATCTGCAGTTTGACCTGAAGCGGCTAGAATAGGCTGAATCCTACTAGCCCTAACAATAACCAATCAAGGCCTCTTCCAGGACAGAGCTCCACACTGAGAAGAAACTGCTGGGCATAAAACCCTAATTGAGCAGGGCAGAGAAAAAGATGATGCAGATTAAATGGTTGGGGAAAAATGGAATGTTTCACAAGAACAACAGAAGAGGGAGCTCAAGAGTCAAAGTTAGAAAACAAAATCATTTCTTCCCTTCTAAAACTTAAGATAACTAATTTCATGTAAAAATGAGCATCAGAAAATGACCAGAGTTAAATGTTACTCAGATTTAATATAAGAGCAAGCATAATTGTTACGGAAATGACAGGCCAGCCAAGAAACAAGCACCACTCGGAGAGTTGGAGTACTCAGATTTATTACGCCGGC